AGTACATGCCCTTGACCGGAATCGAACTGGAACTTTGGGTCGCAGGCCGACACTTTATCCACTGAGCCAAACCGGTTTCGGCAATTTATCTTTATTGTTGAAAGTATTACAGATATCCACCCCTTTCTCCCTTTGACCCTCTCCACCCAGCCCCTGCCCCACTCCAGGCATTCATCACACTATTGTCTGTGTCTATGGGCTATGAATATATGTAAACATGTTCTTTGGTTAATCTCTTCCTGCCCCTCCCGCCCTTCTCTCTGAGATTCAACAGTCTGTTCCATGCCTCCATGTCTCTGGATCTATTTTGTTCATTAGATTCCACATATAAATGAAATCATGTGATACTTGTCCTTCATTGACTGGCTTGTTTCGTTTTTTTGTCTTTTTTTAATCCTCACTGGAGGATATTTTTCCATTGATTTTTAGAGAGAGTAGAAGAGACAGGGAAAGACAGAGAGAAACATCAATGTGAGGGAAAACACATCAATTGGTTGCCTCCTATACAGGCCCAACCAGGACCCAGGCTGGGAAGGAGCCTGCAACAGTGGTACATGCCCTTGACCAAAATCGAACTCAGGACCCTTCAGTCCCCAGGCCAACGCTCTATCCACTGAGCCAAACTGGCTAGGGCATCGCTTATTTCATTTTATCTGGAAGAAGTAATGAGAATATAAAGAAGATAGTCAACCTACTTTCAGACCCAGTCATTCAAGAGCCCAGGGAGAAAACCAACTTTGAAGAGCTGCAGAGGAAGCAGTATCTCCAGAGGAGAGCCCGTTTCCATTAGAACAAGGTGAAAGGAAGGAAAATTCAGAGAAGTCAGGAATTTTGCTGATGGTGGATCATGAATTCCTGAGGGCACAGAAAAGTTTCAGCAGCTGGGCAGGGGCAGGAAACAGAAGAGGGGATATGCAGAGCCTATGGGATTAGATGTGGGAGTCTAGGGCTTCCTGCAGTGGCAAATATGCACTGGGATAAAGAGCATAGTAATTGTGCTGGACTCAAGAAACATAATGATGGTAAAGTTGTGAGTGTTCTGGGGACAGGGCAGTTCAGGGGCACAGGGTATTTCCTCCTAGTGCTGGTGCTCTTCCTCTTGACTCCTGTTGATGGAACTCATGGACCTGAGGCTGGCTCCCTTCATCATTAACAACTTTATAAAAATGCATGTCACCATCACACATATGGATTTCTGATCAAAAAGCTTACAATTTTTAAAAATCTCCCTGCTCTGGGGGAAATGTAATTTTTCATAGCAGAGTTGGGTTTTACTTACATCTGTGTTACAGGAGCGGTACCGTTTCCTTTCCCCAAGGCAGTAGTTTCCATCTCCTGAAGGTCTGAAAACACATTTTGTTTAACATGTGAATATACTATATTTATCCACATAGAAAGCACATATATTGCATGATGAAAACATATTAACATTTACTTTAAGAAAATGTAAAATTGGACATTTTATTAGTTATTAAAAAATCATGCTGGGGACTGTTAGTAATAATGATTATGATTGTTGAATGTTAAAATTAAGGCGATTTACTATGAGTAACTTTACAGGACTGTTAATTGTCATGATTTACATTAAGAAAATGCAATTAAATCAATGTATTTTCTAATTATTATAGTAAACAGGTGATTGGTTCAATTTGAGATTCCAGCTTAAAATTCACTTATTTATAATGAAAAGCCACTTGAATCATCTCAACAAACCCATAATCCGATGCATTTTGCCCACCAAGTTGGAAATGAAAAGTTTGATTTTTTCTCAGACTGGAAACAAGAGAGGACACTAAAAGACTCTCTGGAAATAGTTTCAGTTCCAAGTAAATAATGCAGAAATGAATTTCTATCTCATTTCAAATATTTAGTTTTAAATCTAAACATCAGATGGGTTTGCATTATATAAATGCTTTAAATAATACTCAAATTAATGAAAAAGTGAGATGTCAAATATTTTATTTCCATCAATTAATTTTTAAAGTATTAAACATTAGGTAGAGCCATACGCTATTATTTGAATGCTATTTTTGAAGGCTAACTTGTTCTTTTAAAAGAGGTCTGGTCATGCTCTTAAATATCTGGGTATATTATTGATTATTATAGGGTTTTATAATTTTGGTTATTATTCTACAGTAGCCTACAGTTGAACTTAGGTTAATTATTCTGTACTTGTTTTAAAAATAGCAAAGTCTAAATTACAACTTTGTCTTACTAGAATCAATGAGATAATTTAAGTGACAATTTTGAATATGTTTTGAATGCCAGTGAATGGTGACTCTAAGCATGAAAAACAAATGGCCCAGCTTGAACCAGCTTGGGAGAAATGGGTCGGTCAGACAAAAACAAAGTAATGGGGATGGTGGTAGCATGGCTGGTTTACGCGTAAGTGACAGTGAGTGAGCCCAGTTTAGCAGGAGGGTAAAAATAGCTAGAAAATGGGAGAATGGAAACACAGCACTAATATCCAGGGAAACGATTTCAAGCTAAAAAGAGAAGAAAAGAGACATTCAGAGAGAGGAGCCAAAGAGAGGGATCCTGAGTTAAAAGGAGGAAGAAACAAATACAGACCATCTTTTACCCCAGAAGGAGGAATACAGCAGAATTGATGTATCATCACCTGGTTCTGCACCAAAATATGCATTGGGAAAGAAGGCCATCAACCTGAGCTCTAGCCAAAAATGTGAGCTGCTAAGGAGCAGTTCAGTCTCCAGAGGGGCAGGAAAGACCACGCAGAGGAACAGTCCACCTGCAATGGGCAGTGGTGGGAGGGAGAAGCAATACCACAGCAAAGAATACTGATGGGACTGGCCTTCCGCCAGAGGGGCTCCGGCTGGAGAAAAAGATGGTGGGAGAGGAGCAGTCTGACCTGCATAAAACAGCCATGGGGAGAAAAGTGGTGGCAACTCCAGAAGATGATTAATGGGGGCATGTGAAAGGAAACTATTTTAACACATGGGCAGTATTCTTTTCATTGTGATTTGTGATGCGAATCAAGGCATTTCAACCCTTGAAGGGCTCTCATTGGTCCTTTTAATACTACTGTAGCAGTAATAATTTTATGTGACATGTGAAAAGACCTTAGGTTTCCTGGGAATAATGGTACTGTAGCTAAGACCAGACCTGGATTCATCCATAATTCAGTAGTTTTTGGAAAAGGAAATCTATCTGATTATTAGTAGATTAAGAATTCTGGCTCTACCTGGGGTAGATACACAATGCTTGTCTTTTTCCCCTTTCTTTTATTTTTAGTCACATAGGAAGGGGCGGGGAAGAACAGGAAAGTCTGTCTAACAAGGCTCCTCTGCTCTCCTTGCCTCGTGCTTGTTCTGAAGACAAGCACTTGGCTCGGGAGTGAAACGTTTTTACAGATAACATGTGAAACCACAGCTTTGAATCATTTCCAACTGTGTCTTTTTGTTGGCTGCGGCTTACTTTAGCTACTTACGCTGGACTGTCACACTGTCTTAGAGATGAGGAGACGCCTCCCCCGCAGGTCCTGCTGCACTTTCCCCACAGTGACCAGGCACCCCAGCCCCCTTCTACGCTCTGGGGCGAAGTGCCAAAAGCAACACATTCTCCCTGATAGCACCACTGCAAGATTGCACAGAAAACACAGAATTAGCTTTTAGGCAGATACAGCTATCAGGACAGAAATACACAAAGTTCAGGCAACGACCAATTACAGGCATTCGCATTCTCCCAACAGATAACAGAGTTCTTTAACCGTGTTTACACATTGGTGATGGTGCGTGTGATTTTCAAATTATCTTTAGCTAGGCAATGATTTCAAAATCTCTAACATGTACCAGGAGTCTAAAAAACGAGTCTACTTCTCTTCCCTTATTTCACCTACTCCAGACTTTTCGTGTTTCTCATTAGGGAGACCTCAAAAGTCTTTTTTTCGATATTCTAGTATTAAACAATTTTCTTTATATTCCACTATTATTAGACTCATGGAATGATAACGCAATATGGAAAGTTCCCCAGTAAGGAATTTTTATGATGGTAATTGCTTTTTCTTTAAAAAAAAAAAAAAGAAAGAAAGAAAGAAAAAGAAAAGGCTGGTTGAGGCTACAATAGTAAAAGAATGTGTTGTGGCATTTCATCTACATGAGTACTGCAGACATAATAAAAGTAATGCCAAGACACTAGGGACTGGGTACAAAAAAACCCTTATGTACACCAACCAGCCATGTGCATAGCCCCTGCGTGAACATGTGTGTTGGAATTCTTCTCAGCTTTACTCTCTGCAATAAACCACACATACTGCACATAAGTAGAAAGCCAGGAATAATTTATCGAGATGCAGACATCAAATAATCAGCTCATAACTCTAACATGATAAATCTTACTTGCAGAATATGGTAAAAAGGAAAGCCTTTTTTAAAAACAACAACAAGAAGAAGCATTTCTAGGCTTTTATCGGTGCATTTTGTGAATTGCCATCAATCGCTGACAAACCATACTGATGCTATGAAAGTCATTTGTTTACATGAATAACCACAGGCAACATTATTAGAGTTGAGTAACTGTCAGCAATGTTAGCTAGCTAAATAAAAATTCAACATTATATTAAAACATAGAGGGATTAGGACATGTGATGCTTAAAAGTAATCATTGTATAATACTAATTATATATATCCAGAATTTTTTCACTTTTCACCTTTTTTACTGTTACCAATGGCAAATGGAATAGCTTCTTACCTGGTTCCCCTACTTCCACTTTTTCCTATCTATAATCAATCTGTTCTCCAGTAAGCATTCAGAGAGATCTTTTTAAAAAAACATATTATCGCATCATGTCTCTTTTTTTGCTTAAAAGACTCTGGTCAGCTGTGGCCTGTGGGAAACACCCCTGCCTCCTTCTCCAGCCTCACTCTCTCTCTCTCGGATTTCTCCAGACGCACCAGATTTCCTTCCTTTCCTCCAACACTAAGCCCGTTCCCTCCATAAGGCACTTGCATCTGCTGGTTCTTCTGGGAATACTCTTCTCCCAATTCCTTATATTGCTGTGTTCTCATCATTCAGTCCCAGGTCAAGTGTCATCTCACCAGGGAACTCTTTCCTTGACCACCTTATCCCAAAGTGGAACCTCCAGGATGTAATTGTTTTAGTACACACTACTTTAAATTACCCTGTTTATTTTTTGAATTACTTCATTATTGTCTGTCTCCTCTCGTTAGTAAGTAAAAACCTTAATGTGACAAGTGTGGCTATTTAAATTTAAATTAATTAAAAATTAGGTTCCTCAGACCGACTAGCTACATTCCAGGGATTCATAGCCACATGTGTGGCAGCGATGTTGGGCAGAGCAGATCCAGCATGTCTGTCACCACAGAATGTGCCGGAAGCCGGTCCATCCTTGCTGCTTGACACAGTCGCTGCAGGGAAGAAACATCTGCACAGCATATGTTTCAAGGGACCTGGCGTATATGGCATACTGTTCTTAATATGTTTGCTCCCTTTCTTGGCGCTATGTGTTTTAACCAAAGTCATCTCTCCGAGAAAGGTTGTTTCCCCAGGTAGGGATTTTTCCCTGAAGTTAGGGAGGGAATAAAACCACTTAACTAAGTGCCAGGCGGGTAATTAATCACTTTAACTACGGACAATCATGCTTAAGCTACATAATCTTTACTCCCTGGAATGGAGATAAGAAACGCTCTAACCTTTGGAATAGAAATTGATAGGATTAAAATCAACTGGTATAAATACAGATGTAACAAGACAATAAGACTCAGAACTTGGCTGGAGATCCTGACTAGAGAACCCAACTATGCTGGTCAACTGAACGCTGCCTCTGTGTCATTCCTTCTTCGCTGACTCCATCCACACCTTTGGGAACCCCTGGACCTGCTGGGGCTGGACCCCAACATATGGCGCCCAAACAGGGACCCTTAGGTAAGCCCCCCATTACCCTAGGTAAGCCCCCTTACACTCGGGATGGATAGGACTCCACCATAGGAAGAGGGTGGATAGTCTTCGCCGACTCCGTCCACACCTTTGGGAACCCCTGGAACTGGATTCCCCTAGGTAAGCCCCCCCACCCCCATTGAGAACCCCCACACTCGGGATGGATAGGACTCCACCGTAGGAAGAGGGTGGATAGTCTTCGCCGACCCCGTCCACACCTTTGGGAACCCCTGGACCTGCTGGGGCTGGACCCCAACAAGAATGTTCTATCTAGGACAGTGCTTAGCATGTAGTAGATAAGCAACAAAAATCCATTGACTGAAAGACAACATTAGTTCAATTTTAGAATTCTGTGTTCTGTTTTGGTTGCTGCATGTCAGGAAGGAACTGGAAATACTGGAGGGTAAAGAGAGTCAAATTCACCTTTGTTTCCCTAGGAGTTAGCACTGAGTAAATGTTTTAGTAGTTGTGACAACATAAAAGACTTTTTAGAGAAGTGCTAAGCAATTATCATTTGTCCATAAAAAAATTAGGCAAGAAGAATTCAAATTTTGGTTGGCTAGAAAGCAGAACATTCTGAGCCTTAACCTATTAGATATTAAAGTAAGACATTAAGAAAGATTATGAGTTTTGAGAATGAAAATTACCATGAAAAAAACCCATCTGTCCAAAATGATGAAGCAGAGGTTGCTGGCTGCACTGATATAATACAGGATCAGCTCTGGGAGTAGGACTGCTGATAACGCACACTTGAGAGGGAGAGCATGTTCCAGCTGTCAGCTTATCGCTTACCTAATTGATCCTGAAGACCAATCATTTGTATAATGATATACCATCAATTGTGCTAGACCTTCACCTATATAAAAGTCACAACATTAGGCCAAATAATCTCCGGTTTTACATTTTTGTTATTAGAAGTACCTGTGTGTACGGACATCTATGCCTGTACCTATTTTTTCTTTGAGAATGACTGAGCAAAGTAGTATTGACCAGTGATGACTGATTTGAGCCATGGTTTCAATTAATGACAACACTTTAAAAAACTCCAACTCTTAAAATTTGTCTATTTTTTCAAGTTGGAAATCTAGCATTATTGATTTCAAATAACATTAAAGCTTGATTTTACATTTTATAAAAGCACAGAGCTGCATCTAAAGCTCAAGAGAACTTAAGCATTCATGCGATCTAAGCACCTCATTTTTCAAATGAGAAAACCAGAGCCTATAGCAGGTTGACTTGCCCAAAGTCACTTACTGGCAGAAAGGAAGGAATTATCTGTCCAAAAATACACAAAAAATCAGTGTGTGGGGGGGAGAGGGAATCTATTGGAGGTGTAGAATTCTATATTTAAAAACATTAAATATTCCACTATACTTTACTGAACTGTTTTTACTACACAAAATACAAAATAACACTAGAGACTGAAAATAAAAAAATTCACTTAGCTATAAGTGAACAGCCACATGTTATTTCAGACCTCCTTGGGTACTCTTATAATTGGTAGAGAAAAAATCACTTTCTGCATTTTCAGGGGCTAAAGGAATTGTGAAAGCCATAAGGACACGAGAAGATGTAGGTTCCAAAGAATTTAATAACATTGTTATATGTTTCCTAGAGACTCACAAAGTGTAGGACAGGGAAAGAAGTCACACAAATGATTTTGTTTTCCTTTTAACAAGTAAACAACTTCCGTCTGTATAGGGACAACTTCACTCTGTGTGTAGTCTGTGTTATAGACCTGAGCTCTCATTCGAACAATATATTTGATTTAAAGCAAGTCATTTATTTATTTTCTTTAGTTTCCCTAACTATAAAATGGGGACTAACTTTAGTTTTCGATTCCAATATGGCTTGGATTAGGACAACTTTAGACATTATTTCTGTGCAGACATACCTTCAAAGAAGTTAAAAACACATCAAAGGACTTGTTTGATTTTTTTGTGTTTTGTTTAGTTTCCCCCCACCTCCTATTTATAGGAAGGGATCTCTTTGGAATTCTTGCTACTTCCCTCCTCTAGTAATTGCAAGTATCTTGATGTAGCACATGCTTTTAAGAGAAGAAACTTATCTGACTTAATAATAACTGCTTTAAGAAATCCATAGGAAACTTCATGTGGATAAAGTTATTTGATTACATGAATCAATATATACTGATTTAATATAAGTCACAAGTATAATTAGATTACACTAAGTAAAGCAACTTGAAGTATATAAATCCTATAAGCACATAAGGTGAAAATTTTGAGTGTTGTCTTTTCTATTTTTATCCTTTTTTTTTTCTTGGCCTGAAGTTGCCAAACCTTTATAAGCTCTATTTTCAAACCTATAGAATTTTACTTCTTCTCTTAAAAGAGTGAAATCTTCATATGGGAATCTTTATTCTCTAAGATTATATCTAATCTAGTGATGTATTCTAAATATCAGTCATATTAATTCAGCCCAAATTATCCAGATATATAATTTTGCCTTCTTTTTGCTAATTCAAGTGTGTTTAACCAGGTTTAGAAAGGTAAAAGTGAAACTATCACATTATAGAGCGTCGGCCTGCGGACTGAAAGGTCCCAGGTTCGATTCCGGTCAAGGGCATGTACCTGGGTTGCGGGCACATCCCCAGTGGGAGATGTGCAGGAGGCGGCTGATCGATGTTTCTCTCTCATTGATGTTTCTAACTCTCTATCTCTCTCCCTTCCTCTAAATTGTCTTCAAGCAAGATACATTATAAATTTAAAAATCTAACTTTGAGAATTTTTTAGAATTCCACAAAAATTTTTCAAGATGAGTATACTTTTAAAATATTTTTTTTTATTTTTAAATGTTGAAAACATACATATTTTTTAACTAGAGTCATTCTAGGATGTGATTATAGATCTTGTACCATAGCCAGCACTGGGTCAAGCCAGCATCTGGAATGAGAGACCTCTAAGGAAATCCTAAGATTTTAAAGCAAGGGATATTGGTGATTCAATATAGAATGTTCTTCCCAAGTCAGAAAAGCTAAAAGTTGGAGCACAGCACTATTAAAAGCCTTATCTTTTCACTCTGCAGGTGCAGGAATGCTGAAGCTTATTCCAGCCCAAATTCTAAATCAGAACTTGTCATCCCATGCTATTGAAATTTCTAAAGCAATTCAAGAGCCAGTTTGAAACCCAGTTGAAACATGTTATATTCTACTCTAAAGATCTAAGGCTGCAAATGTCCTATTATATAGCCAGTGCTTTAGAAGGGTCTATAATAATCCTAGTCTAAGCCAGCCCTATGTTTCCCATACAAAGATATTAGGAACCGATGTCATATATATGTAAGTCTAAATGCTGGGCTATATCTCTAACTCAATCTTGTAGAATCATCAAATCAATCTTTTGGAAATAAACCAAGTATTCTAAACCTTCTTTGTGGTCACAATCAGAGTTTGCAAGGATTGGGTTTTCATTATCATTAATATCTTGTTCCATAACAATGCCCATACTGCTATCAAAGTTTTTACAGTCTAGATCTTTGTTTACTATTTCATCAAATATGGCATCCCTCCGATGCCTGTCCAAAGTGCTATTGCTGATGCCATGTCTAAAGAAAGTTTTTTGGGTTAAAGTTATATTGATTTATTTGTAAAAGTTTGACCCATGGACACACAGTACCAACTAGCGCACTGTCTGGGCTCATCAAATTTCCTCCTTTGGTTAATGCTACTGTCCCTAAGCACATCCATTCAGACCATATGGTTCTTATTCAATCCTTGAATGGCTTATTCAGGCAAACATCCAATGGCTGTAATAGCGATGTCAGACCCCCCAGGACTCACGCAAAGATCAGTTTTTAATTTTTTGGCCATATTTCTTACTCCATCTGCTAAATGTGCATGGAACAGTTCCCATACTTACATGGAACATTTGTGGAACTGCGCCTCGGGCAGGGATCCCATATCTTTTGCAGCCAGAGTTTGACAAGATCATTGTGGATCCAGTCCTCTGGATATGTCTATGCTATCCCTTAAGCAATCCTTCTCCCCCCACCATTTAAAACAAATTATTCAAAAAACTATGAGCGGCTTTGGTTTTATCCTGCTGGCTAGACGGGATGTAGGTTCTTTCTTGTTTCTTCTGATGAGAGTAGTATTGAAATTTAGAGTTAAAACCAGAAGTCGTGTATATTTCATTCATGTTTCTAAGGCACACAAATTTATGCTTATACTCTCTGATGCTGGCTACTGCCAGTTAAGATAATCTGACAAAGAATTCTCTGCACCACAATCATCTAAGGTTGGCAAATAATAATCAAAAGTGACGATGATGCTCTCGTAATATATACTAGTACCTTCCTTCTCCAGAAAACCATAAAAAGTTCACTGAGATATTATCTCATTTCATCCTCACAACATTTCTATGAAATAGGTAGAAATAGGTTACCTCTCATTTTAAAATGGAGATTAATTATTTTGCCAGTTGTAACACAATCATATATTCTTAGCTAATGTTCTGCCTACAGTGCCTTCCTATTGTGATTCCTGAGATAAGACACTGTTACAGGTAAGTGAAAATCCCACTTAGAATTAAAGGATATAATACATTGTGACTACCAATCTCAAGCTCAGTGACTCACTTTATTCCCATGACAATGAAAATTTGCTTTTTTCTTTACAAAATTTCCTATCCAAAGGTAAAGTAAAATCAGAGGCAATATAGAGGGGCACAGTTTTCAGCTTTGGAATTAGAAAGACCTGGGTTGGAATCTCAGCCCTGCTATTAAATTGCTGTGTAATCTTAGACTTTCAAGTTTAAGTTTCCTCATCTATAAAATGGAGATAAATCAGTTTCTGCCTCATAGGATTTTGTCACTATTAAACAGAACAAATATGTGCCTGGCACAGTGTAAGTACTTTAAAAATATTCAGTATCACCATCATCATTATTGGTAATGCCAACTATTTTTTTAATTTAAAAAAATCTTTATTGTTGAAAGTATAACATAGGTTCTTTTTTCTCCCACTGACCTCTTCCAGCCTGCTATCAATGCCAACTATTTTTAGATGGCAAGAACACAGACTGGCCACACAAAGTTGACCTGACCAACTGAAAATTCCACTTTGATTTTTGTCCCTAGCTCTTTTTTTGCATGGTTGTTTTGATTTGAATCAAAATGCTGAGCTCTGGTTTAATTTCCAGATAGATATAACCCTAGAAGGAAAATCTGCAATTTGGCAACAATAAACACTTTTATTTTAAGGAGAAAAGTAACTTAAATTGCCAACAACAAAATTTGTAAAAAGATATGACAAATGCAGTTACTAAAAAATAAAGAGCTGCTCAGCTCAAATGTGTAGTCCTTTGTGGGGTTTTTTCTTCTTAAAAATGTAGGTGGATCTAGTTCTTTAAAAACCTCTTCAAAAATTCAAAGTTAATGATAGGAAGATATTCAAGGTCTTCTCCTAGAGTGCTGTCCTTTTTCTTTCTAGGAGTCTACATGTGTTTGTTTTCATTCATTCATTTTAAGAATTAGCACCATTCCTAAAGCTGTCTACTGACCTTTCATATCCCTGGAACAACAGTTAAGATTTTTGTTTGGCAGAATAATTTTAGATGGTAAAATCCAACATACCGACTTTATCAAACTAAACTCTAATGTTGGGAATATAAACGACCTCTTGGTACACAAGCTTTGCTACACTTACAAGGTTCTCAAATAGTTTTTCATGAAGTCCAATATGTTCTGTTGAAGTACATCAGAAGCTGACAGGGTAAGGAGTCAGGTAAGGGATTCTTTTAACCAGATCATTGACATTTTTAAAATGTACATATCAGAATTACGTAGACCTCACTTGAAAAAAGGAGCTAGGGATCAAAAAGCTGACAACCAACCTAAACTAAAAATGTGAATCTTTAGAAATCAAATATATTTTTCCCATTTTACTCACTTTTTATCTGTGCTCATTCTTATTTATACTTAGAAGAATTATAATTCCCTTCTATTTGTTTATCTAAATTTAAATTCAATACATTAGCTTTAATATTATTGAATGTCATCTAAATATTCCTCAAAATTATCTGCAATTTTCAAGAAATATGTCATGTCTATCACATATATACACAGTTGTAAGATATGACATTTGAGGATCCTGCAATTAAGCACAGATGATAAGATATTAAACATGTGATTACTGTGTAAATGATTGGCAGGGTTGAACTATGTGTTCTCAAATAGCCACTACTTGTGATTTACTCATTTGGAGTGATTATATAATTTATAGAATGCTTTAGGAGAGCTCTGAGGTATTTAAAAGAATGAATTTTTTATGTTGTATGTTAAGAAATAAAGTTGAATAAAAAGAGCCATCAGGCCTAGTGATAGTATTATTCCAAGCAAATAGAAACTGTGGCCCATGAACTGGATTATAAGAATAATAATCAATGGCAAATAAAGAAACAGATTCTCACTGTGACTTCCCCCCTTACAGTTGTATATTTCTTCTAAGTACAGATTGATTTAAATTGCTACTTGTCGTTGACAAGAATTGTTGGTTCCAAAATAAACCTAGACTGTTGTTTCAAGAATGTGCTTCCTAATATTTTCTATTACTACAGTGAAAAAAAAAAAGAAGGAATTTTTGGTAGTGTGCGAAGGTCTTTGTATTTTTATTGGCTACTTACATAGTCTCAAAAAAAGATCCTTAATCCTTTAAAAATGACCCAATCAATTCATACATTTAGCATAATTTACCAACATTTCCAAACGCAGCATGGAAAAGCCATCAACATGGCACTAGGTCATGGGTCCTGAATGAAGCCGTCAGCAAGGATTAATAAACTGTGACAGCTGCCCAAAAGCTTTCATTCTTTTTATTTAAACATCAGATTGCACGCTGAAATCCAGTGTAATCTTTGTTGAAACTAGCCCAACTAACATGGAAGAAGTCAGAACTGAGAACAGATGACACTAGTAGTTATTATTGTGAACTCAGTCCATAGCCATAAACTCTAGAATTTGCATGAGTAGAAATTCCTAAAGAACTTCAGGAATAGCATATAAATGATTCCTATCTGTTTCAATAATTTCTAATAATATTTTTGAAAACTATACTGATGAAACCAAAATTACTTCGTTCCAATTTCTATGCTCAATAAATTAAGTATTCTTCTACTATGAGCCCTTTCTCTCATATTGCAATTTAAAAGTGACTCCGGTTAAACTATAGTTATAAAATATTTTGGGATCACATAATTTTCCAGAAAAAAAACACACAGACATATGACTAAGCAGGCTCTATCATGTAGAATTGTTATTAGACATTTTCTATATAAATATAACACCCACATATACTTACAGAAAGGTGAAACTGGCCCAGAAAATATTATTCACTGTAATTTTCTAAACAATGAATATTATTGATATAATGTTTTGACAACCCATTAGACTAGAAGTGTATTATTTTCTCAAGTACATTTTAATTAATATGCATGATTTCCTAACAATAGTAGCGGAATAGCAACACCAAACATTTATCAAATAGCTAATAAATCATTTGAGCTTACCCCCTTTTCAATAGTCGCAGTCTGACAAAATGTTCCCTCCGCTGCAGGAATACTGTTGGTGACACAGCGGTTGCTTTGGCTGAGACACCAGAGCTCTCTACACACTTCCTAGGAAAGAAGGCAAAAGCAAATTGATCAGAAGTAAAGACTACAATCACGTCCCCTCTTCCATAAAATACACCGGCAGACACGCAGCATTGTTTGTTTCTTGCTGGTGTTGACACATCCAAGGGAGGATTTTGGAGGAGGCTCTTACGGAAGGTGGGTTATCCACTGTGCAGGATCATGTAAATGTTCGTCTTTAAAACTCTCATTTTAGTGGATGAAGTATATCTTAGATTTTAACATTGATTAAGATCTTTTAAAAATAATGTGCAGAAATGTCATTAATAGGGAAGAGTAGGGGGAAAGAATGGATATGTAGAAAGGGAATATATGCTTAATACTCTCAAGTATAGACAATAGAACAAACTTACCAATTACTAATAGAGTGGTGCTAGGTATTTGACTTCTTAGATCTACTGCAATATTCAAATAAAGATCATTTTAAGAAGGAAATAGAGACCATAGGAATGGGCAGGGAGTAATTTCTAAAATTCAAAGTTGCCTAAAGAACAATCTAGCAATATTGTTTGCAGTTCATCAATGTAGTCCACCACCTTCGTGAAAGGGAAATTTGGTTTTGAACAAGTGCTGCTACTTGTATAACAGGCATTTCTATAATTGAAATATATCAGATGTTGTTTGGAGCTGCCTTCTTTATTATGGTTTTTTCATTGTCCTACATCATTATGGGAAAATTACAACACTTATTCTAATATCAGCAATATAAAATACCTCATTTGGTTCACACACTATCAGATTTTAAAATAAGCTGTTCAACATCTATTCGAATAAAGTGTTTTAAATAAAAGCCAAAAAAGTTTACTTTGAAGAAACTGAAAAGTTTCAGTGTCTCTTTATATATGATCGTCAACTAGCATCATTAATAATACTGCAAGTTTTTAATTTAAACTAGAACCACTGAGTATAAAATATCTTTTTTCAATAAAAAATATTAATCTGGAATGCAAAGATAAACTTATATATAACATTTATTTCTATTGTTATTATTCCCCAACTACTCTTTAAACTCTCAAAACTTAATTCTAAGAACTTATATCACATATCACAAGAAAAAAAAATTTTATAACCATGTATGATGATAGATGTGAACTAGACATTGTGATGATCACAGTACATCCAAATATTGAATCATTATATTGTATACCTTAAACTAACATAGTATATGTCAATTTTATCTCAATTTAAAAAAATTTAAAAAGAACTTATGTCAGGTTAACACAATTCAGAAATAAAGCGGTAACAGTGAATTAACTCAAAAGTTTCTAGAAAATGGGAATGCCCCATAGGGTAAAGCAAACTGAAGGAATCGCATTGGGTCCTTCCGAGCATGTTCCTCCAACCCCCTCTCACCAGGCATTCCAGATTAATGTATTTTTATTGCTTTCTGCTGAAAGGTGATAAATGCATTCTGTGAGAAACCTAGCATTCTGCAAAATCATTTATGAACAAAAGAGGGTTTATGGGGGGAAAAGGAGTTAGAGGAGACCACTTATAACCTATATAACTTAGTAGCCACTAAACAAACAAAAACATCTACAGTCTAATTAAACATGTGGACACTTAAATCTCTGCTGCATTTGTTCCCAGCATCCCTAGCAGTTGGCTCCTTTGTAGCCTTAACCCTATGGCTTGTGATGCTTCCTTCTTAGAGAGAGAGGTCTTCGAGGGTATCTGCCTCTAACAGAGACCACTTTCATAAAAATTAAGACTTAGATTCAGAGTATAACTTCTTTTTATTGTATCTATATAAAATGACAGATGTTAACTAAACCCACTGTAGTAGTCATTTCACAATATATGTAAATCAAACCATTATGCTATACACCTTAAACTTACACAGTGATATATGTCTGTTATTTCTCAATCAAACTGGAAAAAAGAAAATATAAATAAAAGCTAAGAGGGAGCCGATTTCAGGTCAATGTATAAAAATATCTTCTAAAAGTCAGAGCTGAACAATGATGAAATAAAACCAAATCTCCCCTCACTGGAGGAACTCCAGGATATACTTCATGCCCCATAGCAGCAATGTTTCAGGCAGGAAAATAAATGAAAGTAACTAACACTTTATCAGGGCATACTGTCAGCTACTGTTGTAGGCATATTTATATTTGTATCTCATTTAATCATCACGAAAATCTGTTTAGAAAGTGTGAGAAACTTTATAGTTTCAGAAAGATTTAGCAACTTGCTTCAATCCTAATTAAATCTAGATCGGAATCAGGCCTGGCTAATATCAATGTCCAAAATATCCCCAAACAACTAAGCTACTCTCAAATATATCAGAATTACCTGATATTCAGAAAATAACTCTGTAAAAAAACTGAACTAGAGCTGCTTTGATCAAAATAGGATAATTGAACTATTTTATAGTCAAAGACCCTTTCAAAACAAAAGAAATTAGAATTATATTCTCTAAAATTTCCATCCTTTTCAGTAATTATAGCTGTAAATAATACTAAAAAATGGGGGGGGGGCTTTTATTTACTTGAGAAAACTAAAATAAGCCATTCACATAAGGAGGAGAGAAATATCATAAAAGTGCAAAAACATTTTATATTTATTATATCATTAAGGAAATAAAATAGAATCTGAAGAGAAAATGGCATCTTTATTGCTAGATTTTTTTTATTTTTACGTTTTAAACAACTGTACAGATCATAAAAGTGATACAAATTTTCTGCCCTTGGAAATCCTAAACCCTATGCCATTTTGGGTCCTTGGCTGTGGATATGAAACATTCTCTTTGTCCTCATTACCCTATCAGTAACATCTCTCAGCAGCTGTTTGCAATAAAGGGTCTTGATGGCCAAGGGGGAGAGCAGAGCCCTGAAGAGGTCAAGAAGGAGCATCAATGATTAGAAAGGTTACTTATCATTGTATCACACAAAAGAAAATTGAAAACCAACATATGGTGACCCCATGGCCTGGCTCCAGGTGTTTAGTAGCCATCTGAAGAAAGAGAATAATGTACCCTTATTTCAGCTTTAAATAGGTTAATCCTGTTATGTGGGTAATTTAAGTGCAAGAGAGTTTAGAAGAGCAGTGTGTGTACGTGTGTGTGTGTGTGTGTGTGTGTTAAAGAAAAACTAAAAACTAATTTGGATAAATAACTAATCATCAATTTGAAGGGGTTAAAAATGATTAAATGGTTAAAAAAAATACCTCTAAGAAGCAAACCCAGAGTGAAAACTACTGAGCTTTAAGTATACAAGTGATTATGAACCTATGATTTTTGGCTTGAATTTTAAGGGAAAATATAAATTAAATCAACTTCTTGTCAAGTATATGTTTGATAAATATACATATTTGGACTCCAAAAGAATATTGAGGTGCTAAAATAAGTCCATGTCTTTTATTCCCTAAATCCATACCAGATCACACTGTAGAATAGTTACACCGTCTTACAATCTTCAAGCAAAGTGATTTTACAATCTCCCTCAGTGCAAAATTCCAATTTTAATCACTTGAAATTGTTCCTACTATCTAATCTACAACCTTCCAGCTGTAATAGTTAAGGCCACTGTGTTTTTTAATGCTCTTGGTAGAGGAGAACAATTTGTTAACCAGCAACCAAACTATAATAAATGTTCTGAAGTCTGAAGATGGTTTTGAGGCCAACATTTAGCTTTCTTTTTTACAGGATACTCAAATTTAATTTCTTTAAACTTCCCTTATATGTACTTCTAAGTATTTCATTGAGATTAAAGGATGAATCAGTGTGACCCTTAAAATATCTTCGTATGCTCCCAAACGTACAGATGGTTCAGATTCTCCTAAAACGCTACCAGCAAGCAGCTATACAGAGATGGTACCATGGATAACAGATATTCATAGAGGAAAGCAAACATGATTGAATGTCTGTCAGGTGCCAGGTAAATAAAAAGCACTTTGCATGCTTGTCATACCCTTTTGCTGTCTGAAGTTTACAACAACAACTTGGCTGCCATTCACTGGAAAAGGTCTCTAAATAAAATCTACTGATGGTCAATTAGCTAATGGTAAGCAGTCTTGCTATTGAAAAATATTCCTTCAAAAATTATCCTGTTCCATTGTGAAACCATGTATTAGATCAAATGTTCCCATTTATGCTTCAGAATACATAGTCTATTAATAAAACATGGTTCCGTTCTACATTAAAGTAAGTAACAACAACCCACTATTTGCATTTATGTGCTAACTCTTAAATTTATGTAAACAGTAACAAACGTCATAGATAATAATAATTCCCCATAAATCAAACAAAGCTATGTTGTCTATAAAATTTCTCTGGTTTTGTCCTGGGTCTTAAATCTAACTGTGATGAGCACTTTTCTCTCTTTTTAAAACTAATTCATTGAGATATAATTGACATACAAAAAACTGTACATATTTAATGGATGTAATTTGGTAAATTGGGAGAGAAAGTATACAATACACCCATGAAACCATCATCACAAACTAGGCCATAAAGATCTGTCACCTCCAAAAGTTTCTCCCACCCTTATTTATTGTTTTGTGTGTATGAAAATTGATAAAAATTGTCCCCTGAAATAAAATACACCTGCTATCTTGATAACATATTTACTATATAACCCATTTTTATTTTTTACCTTGGAGTAGGTAAATCATATTCTGCATTTTTAGTTACCTTATCTATAAAACTTTATAAAATAATTACAATTTTAATCAAAGCAGTCTGAAGTACCTCATAAAAAAGACTATATAAATATCATTCATAAGCTATATATCATTTATAGATTACTATATTATACAACTCTGCATATTGTGCTATACAGTTTTGTTCTTTGCATTTATAGCCATTACAATCTCCAAATACTTGTTTAAGATTGTAAATGTTAATATATTTTCATTTTCCAATTTTATTTGCTATCTATTATCTATAAATCCATAGAGAAGAAGACTCTAAAGCTGAATATAAGAAACATAACTGAAAATATACAATTTCTCAATTACTATTTATCTCACTTCATATCAATTAATCTGAAATAAATGAGATATACATATATAGAAATAGGCTAATCAGGACAATTTTTTTTAATTCATTGAAGAAAAAGTACATCCATATATCCTATAGAACTGGTAATACAAATTATCTAATATAGGAATATATATGTAGAGTTAAAACCCAATTTCCAATTGAAAAACTAAATATAAATTAACTATTTCACTTGCTAACACAGAAAAGAGAGACCATAAATAAGAATAAAGAATTTCAACCTACTAAACTACAAGTATATACAAAGACTGGGATTAAAGTTTGGCTGATGTTTTCTGAGTAAAAAAGCAACTCAAGAAAAAAAGAAACTAAAACCACAAAGAAATAAGAATAGAAAACTCTACAGCAGAGAGAGACAAGAAAGGCCAATGTTTTACTCAAGACTGTTGCACACAATCTTTAAATCTAGTGCACAAAATCTGCTGTCAAAGCTGTCCATGAATCATAATAGGCTTTTCACCCAAGAGAGACTTTAAAAATCACTTTCCTTTGTACTGTACCTAGAGGATAATTGGTACAGTACAGTGCATATATTGTTTCATCTTAACTATGTGAAAACGTAATTCTTTTTATTATTGTTTTTTAAAAGGCATTTTAAACACTATTTGCATAAAAATAGGAATCAAGTCTTTAAACATTTCTTACTCCTGAATATTTTTGAATAACTTATTTAAATTTCTATTTTTTCTTTCAAAATGCTTGCCCAGCCGGCATGGCTCAGTGGTTGAGCGTTGACCTATGCACCGGGAGATCACGGTTCGATTCCGTGGTCAGGGCACATGCCTGAGTTGTGGGCTTGATCCTTGGTGGGGAGGGTACAGGAGGCAGCCAATCAATGATTCTGTCTCATCATTGATGTTTCTAGCTCTCTCTCCCTCTCCCTTCCTCTCTGAAATCAATAAAAATACATTTTTTAAAAGATGCTTATAATGTGTACCGACTATAAACATGTCCCTATCCTAGACACCGAAATCTTTCTCTGTGAAACTCAAGAAGAATTTTGTATGCATTTTTCTGAGCTAGACACAGACTTCTTTAGGCAGTCATGGAGAGTCAACCATAATATATTTTTTCCCCGCAACAATTTTCCTTGTTTCTCTGTTTGGGTTAGCGTCATCTTGTCCCCACATGGTTGTTGTGTCAGAATGTGGGCAGTGGACTGAAGCAACTTGAAATGACTCAGTACTAGAAAATATAAAGCAAAGGCTCCTCCTAGCCAATATAAAAATGCCCTTAACACAATTATTAGAGTACCAGAAAAGGTGAGGGTGAGGGAGAGGTTTCAAAGCCATACCATTTCTTAAGATAAACCTCAGTTGACATCATAAACTCAGGACTTAAAGAAGAAATACAATAGAAATTATAAAAATTCTACCAGCATCTCTCAAGACGTTTGAAAATTGTTTAATTTAGGATTATGCAAACATTTAGAAATAGATATTATACCAAGTTCAGAAAAAGAGCAGTATCAAAGGAAATATTTGCATTAACGATGTTACCAGAGGTAAACTATATTCATCAAAACTCCATCCTAACATTTGTGTCATGAAAGATCACATAGAAACGACTAAACGTAAGGATTGAGACTTCTTACCCCAAATTTACATTGGCGGGATCCTGGTCCATACTGGTAACGACATTGCTCATCAGCATCGTACACCTGACCTGGGGCCACAGTTGGGTAAACAAATTCACGCTTGGGAGGCTCATTATTAAGGCAATTGCCACGGCCTGAACTGTTCAACATAAAGGATCAAAGAAAATTAGGTACACTGTGGACCATTTCAATCACAATTATGAAACCAGGTATTGAGCTCTTTGTTTTAATAACTTGATGCATGAAAAACAATACTTCCTACCAAGAAATAATCACATGGCAAAATAACTTTACTGAAACCTGAATAAGAGTTCCAATCTTTTTTCCAGCACCAAGACATAATAAAAGTATCTCAGACAACAATCTGAAAATGTCATGTTGGCCTTAAAACAGATTTAAACTAATTTCTGAAGGAATCAAAACAGAATTTCATGTTGCTGTAAGTTTCTTGTTTGATTTCAGTGAAAATATAACCACATCTGGTAGTAGAATTAAAAACATAAAATGTGGAAAAAAAATTGTGGTTGTAATCCTTAAAGACTTAATCTATATATTTCCATCTTGGGCAGAACAATAGATGACATGTCCAAAGGTTCTTGAAATATTTCAATAATAAATGGGCTGAATGACCAATGAGGCTAAGATCCAAAGTTCTCCTCTCAAGTATATTACAAGTGTTTAGTCTCTCAAAAATTTCATATTTCATTTAGGGTCATCAGAGTTAGGAAAGGGAATGTTCTCCTCTCTATATAATTTCTGCTTTTCAAAGTGTGCTTGCACTCAAACATAATATTTTAATTCAGTGGAACAAATAACATAAAGATTGCCAAAAACCAGACAGAATACCTTAGTTTAAAGAGCTTTATACTTTGCTAAATATAATTGTTCATTTTATTTAGTCAGTGTGCATAAAATAGGACAGATGCTTTTGTACTTTCATTTCACATGTAAGTTAGAATTTTTAAAGAATTCCTATGCCAACATTTAAAAATTTTTTCCAACATTCCTGTCAATTGTGCCAGCACTTGTGTTTTTTTCCCCCAAATCTTTTCCATCTGCTTTGCCAAAGGAAAATAATTTCACAAGTATAAGTTCTTCAACTATTATTTAAGACAGTACAAATTTTCATTTATAGATAAGTAAAAAAGAACCATGCATAATAATGAGTTTGATATTTGCTTAAAATTTTATCGCATTCTTAAAATGTAAAAGTTAATTTGCTATATACAAACATATTTGCACTGCAGCAAATTAATACCTTTTAAAAATTGAAACTTACTATTCATAAGGTGATAGATTAAAAGATCCAAGGCTGGGAGTGTGGGGGGATCCAAGGGACAGAATACTGTTTTCTTTACACATTTTTCCTTTCATTTATGACCTTCTTGATTAATTTTTAATCAATAAAAATATCTAGATGGAATATTAAATATGGTACTAATATGGGGGGATTTTACTATTGGCTATTACCATCAATTCACTTGTCACTGTTCAAGGTATCTATCTAACAGAGAACAACTTTTTTTTTGAACCCAGCTACCCAGTTTTCATGACAGAATGCTTTTTATTTCTTGTTTTTTGTACTTTTAGAAATTGCCGTGTATCTCAGTAAGATAATTATCTTTTATGAATTTTAAAAGCAGCAAGTTTTTTTTTAATTTTATAATATAAAACATCTTTAATCGATATGGGTATACCAATTTTAGGCAAATGTAATTCTACTAGTAAATTCAAATTTTTATGTTAAGGTTAATGATAAAAAGGTCAATGCGAAAAATATAATAAAAGAAGATGTACCATTTTGATAACATGCAATAGTCATTAGATCATTGGATTAGCTGCTTAATTCCTTAATTTTCTTTAAAATATCAGTTTCATCTCTGCAATAAAATTATAAAAGTCTTGATGAAAGCCCTAACTGGTTTGGCTCAGTGGATAGAGCATCGGCCTGCGGACTGAAGGGTCCCAGGTTCGATTCCAGTCAAGAGCATGTACCTTGGTTGCGGGCACATCCCCAGTAGGGGGTGTGCAGGAGGCAACTGATCAATGTTTCTCTCTCATCAATGTTTCTAACTCTCTATCCCTCTCCCTTCCTCTCTGTAAAAAATCAATAAAATATATATTTTTTAAAAAGTCTTGATGAAAGGAGTTAAATATGTAATAAAAATAAGTTATCAAGTTAAGTACTACTGTAAATCAATGGGCAAAATTTAAGTACTGAAGTATTTAAGTACAGGGTTCTACAGGTAAATATGTAAAACAAAAAGTATAATTATATATTCACCTAAGTATATAATATGTATTCACCTACATGGCACCAATTAAAAATCTATTTAAAAATTTATACATAATTACGTTTAGGAATACAGAAAATTAACCTAAAATATTTAGAGGGAGAATTATGTGGACCCCAAAAGTTTAAGCATAGATATGCTGAGGAAAAAATTCTTTCCTGAGAGCGTACTGAAAATTGACTTAATCCAGGAGGAAGCGACAATAATTATTTCTTTAAAGTTCTTGTTCTTGGGTATTAATGGTCTTCCAATCATGGTTCCTGTTCTTTAAAAACACCAAATGCAGAGACCATTGCAAGGGCCTCCAGACAATGAAGAATGCCGTGCACCGTGGTCACTGTGGCCAAATTCTTCTGAGTCAGTGTATCCCAAACTGGATTTTTGTTTCAGTTCTTTGGAATAACCTATTCCTATGTATTAAAGTGGTCTCATTAAATATCTACACAAGTCTTGTTCTCCTTTTCCAGTATGTTTTACAGAAGAATAAAATAACATCTATACTAATAAAAGGGTAATATGCTAATTAGACCGGGTCAACTGGACATCTTCTGGACGTCCAACTTCCTTCCAGACAAGCCACGGTGGCAGAGGCCAAGGCAGAGGCAGTTAGGGGCGATCAGGCCAGCAGGGAAGCAGTTAGGGGGTGGCCAGGCCGGCAGGGGGGGGCAGTTAGGGGGCAACCAGGCCGGCAGGGGGGCAGTTAGGGGGCAACCAGGCCAGCAGGGGGGCAGGTAGGGGGTGACCAGGCTGGCAGGGGGCAGTTAGGGGGCGACCAGGCCGGCAGAGGGGCAGTTTGGGGGCAACCAGGTCGGCAAGGGGGCAGTTAGGGGGTGACCAGGCCGGCAGGGACCAGTTAAGGCCAGCAAGCAGAGGCAGTTAGGGGCGATCAGGCAGGCAGGTAGAGTGGTTAGGGTTGATCAGGCAGGCCAGCAGGTGGGGCATTTAAGGGGGTGGCCATGCCGGCTGTGGGCCGGTTAGGGGATGACTCTAGCCCCGGCGGGGGGGTATTAGTAGGGGGAACCAAAACAGCAAGGGGGGCAGTTTATAT